CTGCGGCGCTCTCCTCTCGGAACTTGATTTGGGCTACACGACATATGACGTCATCTTGGGTCCTCTTTGGACTGATGACGATTGGTTCGCCAGTACTTCGCCTAGCCTCGTCGAGGCATTGGTCGTAGTGCTTGCGTACATGCTTGCTGGCAGCTACCTACGCCACCTCGTGCATCCGTGGTTAGCGTCTCTTAATCGCTTGCGCACAGTTGCCGATGGTTTGGCGCATGGGACTTCCCATGCTTGGCAATCAACTTTGACTGCACTCAGCGCTGTGTCTTCAAGCGTCCATCGTTTGGAGACCGCTATGGCCACGTTGCAGACTCGTATGTTGTCATTGCCACAGCGCCATGCATTGCCCGCATCACATTCCTTAGCGATTGCGGCGGAGGCCTCTTTGCTTCCACAATCCAGTTCTCAGTTTCACCCAATGTATGAGGAGTTTGTAGCTCAAGAGCTCTGCGTGCCACAAGGATTGGAGCCCTTCCCACATACGGTCACTACCTTTCAGGAGTTTCTGGCGTCTTCTCGATCTAGAGTTTGGAGTCTTGTAATTAATTTTCAGGATGCACGAGGTCAGCAAGTCTCGAAATCTGCAGCCCGCAGCCGGCAGACCTCATGCTTGCACGGCCTTTGGTTTGGGCTTATACACCAACCCCCTTCTTGGGATGGGGATGATTTGGCTTACATCTCGAGTATCGGATCTGGTCGAGACCAGCTCGGTGATTCGTTATGTCCCATGCACGACCAAAAACTCATCCGCGAATATCTACGCCACGGAGCTGAGTTGACGGCATATGTATACTGCCAGGCTATCTCGCGCGCTTCCGTGCTCACCGAGGAGCGACAGGTGACATATCTCCGTGCGAGATACTCCCATAGCGTACTTTCGGATGACTATGGGGTGGACGATCCTATTTTTGTCTACGTTGTGAACGAGTTTGGTGTGGGGCAGAATTGGCGGTTTGGCGTTCATCATCAATCTGCCTTTGCCTTCCACGCCCTCTCTGAGGACTTTCCAAGCTCAGCCTCATTGACTGGGATTCGTCACGCGCATCGCCGTGGCAAGCTTGCTCTCGTCTTCTCGCCAGCCCCTGGATATGAATCCTTGCTCACTCACGAACGTCTCAAGGAGGGTCCCATAATTTGGCCGACAAACCTGCTTGGGTGCATTTATGGCGCAGCTGTGACAACGACTTTTGACGAATTGCTGAATGAATCTTGCGCCACTAAGTTCGGCTTCCCCCATTTGTGGATTAACGGGATGGCGCCATTGGCTTGGAAGGCTGCGGTGCTCTCGCGGGAGTCTGCAGTTTACCATCCTGGAGCAAATATGCTGCCGCTCCATCATTTTGCGACCCTTGTTTCAGCGGCTATCCCTGAGGACCACAGTGGAGGCCTACTGGTTTTTGAACGTGGCCAGCCCTACCCGCAGGAAGTCCAGCTGAAGCCTATTCAGCGGACATTGAAAGTTGGTTCGGGCGCAGTGATTTACCCCGACGTGAACCGCATCGTCTCAGAGCGCATGGTCTACGCACTGGACCAGATGACACGCATTGGAGTTGGACTTCTCGGAAATCGTATGATTGGCGCCGCATTGATTGGAGTGCCTGTCAGCCTGGAGGCAACGCGATGTCGTCCCATTTTATTGGACGCTGATTTTCAGAGGTTCAACGAGGGCCAGCGACGCGCCATTGCAGCATTCACAGGACCTATAACTCTGTTGTCGCAGTTAAGGCCGGTCCAGGGACCGGAAAGACGGAGATGACCGCTGCTGCGATTGAAGCCATGGCGGCAAAGGGACTGCGTGTATTGGCCACCGCACCTTCAGGGGCTGCGGCGATTGTGTTATACGACAGACTCTGTACGCTTCGTGCGCGCCTTGGCTCGACAGTCATGTCCATCGCCAATACTGTTGCGACTTGCGACACGCCGTGCAGATGTTTCCGCTGCTGACGCCAGGGTGGTCGTTACCACTTGCGCAGGTGCAGGCTCCCAAGTTCGCGCCCCGGGTGGGCCGTCCAGTTGCAGGGGCATGTGCCGCAACACCCGGGCTCTCGCCAGGCTAGGGGGCTGCTGCCCGAACGCAGACCCATCATGCTCTTCGGCCATCGCCTCCCCACGGACTCTGAGGACGAGCAACAACTTCATGGAGACCTCTCAGCAACAAGTGTCAACGCGGTGATCGCCCTGGATGACTCGTTGGGGGCGCCTGAGCCAGAGCCGCCGACCACGCCTGAGGCTGAGTTGCACTACCTGGCAGGGCTACGCACACCGAGTGGGCGCAATGATGGGGAGTGCTCCAAGCGGCAGAAGGTCTTGTTGGTGGAAGTGAGTTCGCAGGCCATGGCAACGCGAACGGTGCGAGTGCCGCTGGCTCCTGATGGGGCGCCTCGATTCACTGTGCGCACATGGATTGAGGAGGAGCAAGACCAGGACGAGATTGCGACGCAGTTGCTTGGCCAGGGGGGTGGCACGGATGGCATGCCTGGCACCTCCACGCAGCTGGACTCTGTCCCGCCCTTTGCACAGAGTGTGAATGGGAGTATGGGGGTCACGGAGCATGTCTTCAACCAGCTGGTCTTGACGGCAACGCAGGGCGGGCTGATGGATAGCGAGATTGCCGAGCGGTATGGTTCCGAAGTGTTGCACATGGTGCAGACGCAGCGGGCCCTGCTGGAGTCCTCGGGATCGGTGGCTGACGTTGGTCTGCGCGAAGGGCAACAGGGTTGACGTTGTCGACTGACGGTGAGCAGTGAGAGGGCTAGTGTGGGGGTGCTGTGCGGCTCTTGTGCAGTTTGGGCCTCTGGGTACCCCGTTCTCCTGGCCGATTTGGCCTTCTGACTGTGGGATCTCTGCAGGTGGAAAAAGGAGCTCAAAAAAAAACC